TGTGGTTAACTAATCTAAATTAAGGAAACAGGTTGATTTTTCAACCTGAATATTTCAGATGTTTGACCTTGCTCTCCATATTTTATTTTCATGGTTCTTAGATTCATAAAATCAATTATCCCGCCATCCCTCCTGCCCCCTTCCTCCAGATTCCTGCTGTGTTCTGTGCTGTGCCAGGTATCTTTGGACAGTGCTAAACATTATAACTAATTGGTCCCTGTCCTTTGGATATTATAAACCTGTGGGGAAGCCAACATGAAAAATTATTCACATATATATGAAGTTTTATGGGAAAATATAATGATCATATGATAAAGAGTTCAGAACCCTAATAAATATTTATTCATCAGAGTTTTTGGATACTTACCACATACTGGACATTATACTAGCTGCTAGGTACATAGTGGTGAACATAGGCACAGCACCTCCCTTTCTGGGACTTATAAGAGTGCAAAGTACTTACAGTGGTAACCTACTGTATTGGGCTCTATGAACATAAAGACGACAAATTGTGGCTGTTGCCATCAGGAAATCCATGATCGAAAAGATGAGCTAGATAAATGAATAACAAATCTAAAGTAAAAGCAAGTTTTTCTGCCTAAAAGTTATTCCTTTACTTTATGTGAGTCTTTACGTTGATGTTAAAGGTGTATTTGAAGATTTTGAATAATTTTAAATAATTATAAAATGTGAAAAAAGTAGTATTTCTAAGTTAATATATTATTTTCCATATCTGTAATCTTTCAGTTTTATCTGTAAATATTTCTGTGTGTATCACTAAAAGATAAGAACTCTTTTTTTAATTTAAAATTTTATTTTATTTTAATTTCAGCATAGTTAACATACAGTGTTATATTAGTTTCAGGTGTATAAGATAGTGATTCAACAATCCCATACAAAAAAAGATAAGAATTCTTTAGAAAATGAGCATAGTATCACCTAAAGAAAAAAGAGCAATTTCTTTAATATGATAAAAGATCTAGTCAATATTCAAATTTCCAACTGTCTCAAAAAATTCTTTAAAAAAATAACTAAAAATATTTTTTTGGTTTGTTTGAATCAGGATTCAAATAAAGTCCACACATTGAGATTGGTTTGTCATCTCTTTTAAACTACTGCTTTCACCTTCCTTTCTCCCTGTCTCTGTTTCTGTCTCTCTCTTCTTGCAATTATTTATTTTAAAAAAGGGGGAGGGGGAGGCAGAGGATTTGTTCTGTAGTTTCCCACAGTCTGGATTTTGTTGATTGTGTTCTCATGCTGGTGTTTTTCCATGGAATTGTGCTTCACTGTATGTCCAGTAAACTGGTATTTGGATTTAGAGGCTTGGTCAGATTCAGGGACAATTTATTTGTTAAGATTACCTAATGGGTGGTGGTGATACGGCCTCCCATTCGGAGACATATAATGTCTGGTTTTCTCTCTTTGTGAAGTTAGTGGCTGTTGAAAATCAATGTAATCCATTAGGGATTGCAAAATGGTGGTGTCCTAATTCTAACATTCCTTTTTCATTTATTTTTTTCTATAATAAGAAACTTCTTTCATCTCTTCTATGATATCACTCTATGGTACAATTTATATAGGAAAGCCAAGATAAATTTTTAACAGTTTTCAAGATAATGAGTTGGTTTGTTAGCATTATCCTCCAATGGTAACCAATTAATTTTTAGAGTGACATTGTGAACTCATGGATTTTAACATATTTGTTATAGTTAATCTGTTATAGTTATTACCCTTACTGATGCTCAAATTGTCCTAAAAAGCAAGGGATCTCATTAAGTTGACTCCTGAGTCCTTTTGACACCATTCTAGTTGTCTGTGGGTAGCTTTTAGTAGAAAATGATACTTAAGAGACCACAATCTAGGTCCTAAGGATATTCATTGCTTCTGGCTGTTCATTTTTTTCTAGGACTTTTGAGTGGACAGAGCTAGAAAATGTAAATTTATAAATTTAAAAACATTAAAAGATAAAAATATATGTTCTTGTTGATACATCCGATTCAGATTCAGGACTACATGGTTTTTACTTAACTTCTATCTTAAGACTGTATTTCCTCTTACCCCTGCTGAGAATGCCAGTTCTCAATGACATTGAGAATGACAGAACAAGTTTACATAATCACTCATGTGTCTATCTCACAATGCACAACAGTCTCGGAGTGATAGCACCAACACTACACCAATAGATAATGAAAAAGCAGTTTAAGATCTTCTTAAACTCTTTTTGTCTTTAGGGTATGTGCCACTAAGGATGTTCAGTCAATTCATTATACCTTAAAGTTATGTGGAAGAATTTCTCTTGGAATAGTTATGCCATCAATTTGACCTTTGTTTTCATTTTGTTTCTCATTTCTGGGAATTGCTTTTAAAATGTTTAGTTTTGTGGGGCGCCTGGGTGGCTCAGTTGTTAAGCGTCTGCCTTTGGCTCAGGTCATGATCTCAGGGTCCTGGGATCGAGTCCCGCATCGGGCTCCCTGCTCAGCGGGAAGCCTGCTTCTCCCTCTCCCACTCCCCCTGCTTGTGTTCCTTCTCTCGCTGTGTCTCTCTCTGTCAAATAAATAAATAAAATCTTTAAAATAAATAAATAAATAAAATTTTTAGTTTTGTTTTAAAATTATGTAAGATATTTATAAAATCAGGTATAGTCAAAGAATTCTGGTGTTCTGGCCTTGTCTCCTAACTCCTTAGGTAACTATTAAAAAAAAGGTTCATGGCTTATTCTTCCTTTGTATGCTTTTAAGTATAAGCAGATGCTTATGTTCCAACACTTTTTCTTTTACATATATATGTACATATATATGGGATCCTGGGATCATGACCTGAGCTGAAGGCAGCTGCTTAACTGACTGAGCCACCCAGGCACCACAAAACCTCAGACTCTTAAATACAGAGAACAAATTGGTGGTTGCCAGGGGGATGGGTGAAAAAGGTAAAGGGAATTAAGAATACACTTACCTTATGAGCACTGAATATGTATGGAAGTGTTGAATCATTATATTATACACTTGAAACTAATTTAACACATATGTTAATTATACTTGAGTAAAAAAAGAAATAGCAGAAATGAATAGAAAAAAGAATAGCATTGATAGATAGATAGATAGATAGATAGATAGACATTTGACTTTCATCTACTTCCCTAAAAACTGGTTTATTCAAGTTGTCCTCAAAAACTTTTCTGAGGGGTGCCTGGGTGGCTCAGTCGGTTGAGCGTCTGCCTTCAGCTCAGGTCATGATCCTGGGGTCCTGGGATAGAGCTGCACAACGTCAGGGTCATCGGGCTCCCTGCTCAGCGGGGAGCCTGCTTTTCCGTCTCCCTCTACCTGCTGCTCCCCCTGTTTGTGCTCGCTCTCTTTCTCTTTCTCTCTCAAATAAATAAAATAAAATCTTTAAAAAAATTTTTTTCTTGAATCTTCTCATTAGGAAAATGCAGTTCAGGGTTGCCTTATTTGGGGACATGGATGATAACTGGAAAGGAAAAGAGTAAAATTAGGACAGTAAGCTGGAAATTTGAGCAGAATCTAGAAGATAGTCAGGACTTGGCGGAGAGTTGGGGATGGGGCACATTAGACGACAGGACATGTGAGCAAAAGCATGAAAGTGGGAACGTGCACAATGCCCATGGGATCAGTGAACTTGGCTGGAGCTGCAGATTTGATAAGAGAAATAGATTGGCAGGAAAATCAGTTCAGATTTTTTTGGAAATAATTCAGGGTCTTCATAAGGTAGGTGCCATTATAGTCATTATTTTACCAAAGAATTACTGAGTACCTACTCTGTGAAAAGTCTGTGTAGGATGCTGGGGAAACAGTGGTGAGGAAGACACACAGGGTCCCTCCCTTGAGCAGAGACATTTCATTTCGAAGGAGAAGTACAGTGTGCTGTGAGGGCATATTAATGGGGGGACCTAGCTTAGTTCAGAGGAGGGGTAGTCAGGGAAGCCTTTCAAGGAAGTGCATTGAGGCTGAGATCTGCGGGATGATGAATAAGTATTGGCTGTTGATGGTGGAGGTGCGATAGCAGGGAGACACTTATAGTTCAGGCAGGGAGAAACACTCAAGGAAGAAAGTAAGTGTGGTTCCAGAACTGAAAACTTGTCCGGTATGACCTAAAGGGCTGGAGAGTGTGGCCTAGAGTAGATGAGACATGAGAGTGGATTCAAGAAAAATTGCAAAGGAGGACTTGATAAGAAAAGGGAGAAAACGATTTCCCTGAAGACATATTATGACACTCAATATACATGGAATGGATAAGTCAGTACATCTGAAATTTCAAATGTGGACTAAGAAACAATGGTGCCATGGGTGAGTGTAAGTAAATGAGCACAGGGTGCTGGTTTGGAAAGATTAGTTTGGTTTTAGACATGTGGATCTTGTGGTCGACATCCCAATGGTTTGTCAAATACTGAGCCAACAGTTTTAGGCTACTGTTGAGATTGTTAGACTCAAGGGAGGGACACAGAAGGTAGAGCGCTCCTGCTTGGCAATTATGGTTAGAGGAAGAGTCTGAGCCTTAGGTTGAGAGGGAGGAGACTTGATCAGAGAAGCAGGATGGAGAATTTCCAGGACAAGAGGCTCAAGCACTGTGGAGAGGTCGAGCAGACCGATTTATGATAAGTGAAACAATGTGGTTGACACCACTTACACAATGCAGGCCTATTATCCACTTGTACAGGGGGAGTGGGGAGTTGGAAAAGGCATGAGATCTGCAGTCACAAGACCTGAGTTCAGTCCCCCCTCTGCCTTTTACCACATTTGTGCCCTTGACCAATAATTACTTCATTTTCTCTGACGCTCAGGCTGCTCTTTTATAAAATGAGAAAGAGAATGACTGTCATGTTTGTGTCTCAAAGTTATTGTGAGGTTCAAGTGAAAAACATATGTAAACCATTGGGCTTTCTCCCCCAAGGGTTGCAAAAAGGGTCGGGCATATACATGGGACTTAAATGAACGTTTGAATGAATGTATGCATATTACTATGGCTACTTCTTTATGTTTCAACAGAGACCAGATGAAGAGGCTGTGGTGGATCAGGGTGGGACCAGTACAATTCTCAACATTCACTATGAGAAAGAGGAGTTGGAAGGTAAGAATTGTGCTTTTGTGTGTGTGTTGGGGGGGCGGGGAGAATTAATGAGAGGCAGCCTGGTGTGGGAGGAGACCTTTGCCATCAGGAAGCCTGGGTTTAAGTCCTCCAACTCTTTCTCACTAGCTGCAAGACCTTGGGGGAAAAAGTCCCTTCATTTCCCTTAAGCTCTATGTCCTCATCTGTTAAATAAAAGTAGGGATATTAATACAGAGAACAAACTGGTGGTTGCCAGAGGGGAGGGAGGTGGGGGGAAAAATGGGTGAAATAGACAAAGGGGATCAAGACGTACAAACTTGCAGTTATAAAATAAATAAGTCATGGAGATGAAAAGTACGGCATAGGGAATAGAGTCAATAATACTGTAATAATGTCGGGTGCCTGGGTGGCTCAGTTGGTTAAGCGACTGCCTTCGGCTCAGGTCATGATCCTGGAGTCCCGGGATCGAGTCCCACATCGGGCTACCTGCTCAGCAGGGAGTCTGCTTCTCCCTCTGACCCTCTTCCCTCTCGTGCTATCTCTCATTCTCTCTCTCTCAAATAAATAAATAAAATCTTTAAAAAAAAAAAAAGTAGGGACATTAATACCTTAATATTAGGATCCAATAACATGTGAGACAGTGCACTGAGCACTGTAAAGTCCAATATAAATGTTGATAAATGATCTATTCCTTGAGTATGTAAAGTACTCAGATCAGTTTGTCAATTCTTGGCAACTGCCTACAAATATAAACATAAATATATACACAATTTTAAAAGAAAATAAAATACAAATAGTTTTTAAAATTTAGTTTGGTTATATTATTCAGTTGTTTGGTTATATTACTCAGTTTGCCCCATCTCCAATATTTGCTCTTCGCATTCTAATTATACCCATTTCTGCCTGGTGTTTTCATCTAAACAAGACAAGAGAAAACATACACCCCTGTAACATATTCTTTAAGAATTCATAGCACACAGTTGTATTTAAAAAACACCCAGCTAGGGGCGCCTGGGTGGCTCAGTCGGTTAAGCGTCTGCCTTCGGCTCGGGTCATGGTCCCAGGGTCCTGGGATTGAGCCCCGCGTCGGGCTCCCGGCTCTGCGGGGACTCTGCTTCTCCCTCTCCCACTCCCCCTGCTTCTGCTCCCTCTCTCGTTGTCTCTCTCTCTGACAAATAAATAAAATCTTTAAACAACAACAAAACAAAACAAACCAAAACAAACCCCCCCCCCAAACCCCCCCAGCTAAAGTGGAAGGGAGAAAAGAGTCATTTTTACTGATCTGCTCTGTCTAGGTTCCCTCAACCTTCTTTTTCCCCTGTCCCACCCCTGGGTCCCCACGTGACCATTGGTGGTGTCCTTCTGCTTTTCTTTCTTTGTAGGGTGGTTTCCTGGTAAGTGGTGATGCTCAGTTTTATGAGAGAAAGGCTCGTGTCCAGTATAGCTTTAATGAGAACCCACATTTGGCTCAGAAACCTTTGTGAAATCTCTGCAACAACCCCTGCAATGTTGAACGCTATGGTACAGCAACTTTCTAATGACTGAGACAGCATGTACAACGCTCTCCCTGTCCTGCTTGTTCCCGTGACGTTTGTTTCATCAAAGTTGTATAACCCTCAGAGAAAACTTGTCCTTTGGTTGGGGAGCGTGAAAGCTGTAGGGGCTGACTCAGCCTCTGGGTCTGTTACCATGAGAACTTATGTGGGTGGCTTCTGGAGGTCAGCAGAGTTTGGCTATATCAAGGTCAAGTTTTCCAAGTTATTCTGACCAGATGCAAGAAGAGCCAGTGTGGGTTTCGGCAACTGGGAGAAAGTGGAGAAGGAAAGGGTGTGGAGGTGGGAGGCTAACATTTGTTGACTGCCCTCTGTGCGTTAGGCATTGGATTAGGCATTTCGGACAAGTTGTCTTTTTTTCTTTTTTTTTATAATGGACAAGTTGTCTTTTTCATCTTCCCAGCAGCCTGGGTGGTAGGTATCATCCATATTTTACGTGGGGAGAAATAGGGTCATTCAGCCTAACAGCAGGTGAGACTGGGATGGAATTCTTCTCTTTCTATTCAACCACACTGCCTGCAAGGGAGGGCAGTCCTCGGCATTAACCACCCGACCTCAACTTCTGGCTCCATCACATAAACATTTGTATATGATGTAAACATCATATGAATATTTATCATGTTGCCCTACCCCTCCTTCTGCCCTGATAATCCTGTCGCCTCTCTATTCTCTCACTGCACCCTGAGGGCACTGTTGTGCTCGGTTTAGTTGTCTGGGCCCACTAGACCTTTGCCCTCAGCAAGGAGGTAACCACCTATGAACGCTCTTGTCTGCTTGGGAGCAGAATCATAAACGCGGGCAAACTGGGATCCATCCACAGAGGTCAGCTGAGTAATTGGCAGTCGGAGATCTTTTCAAGACGACATCACCTATTCTTCATGCACTCACCATTTTGCTATAAAAGAAAGCTCTATATGATGTCATCTATAGGGGACAGTGTCTTGGGAAGTGGTCTTTTATACAGAGAGCTTTTTGAAAACCAGAATCTTATTTAGGTTAGCACTTTTTAAATAAAGCACATTTGGCACATGGAGGGCAAATGGTGCCCACTTCTCAGGCCTGATGTGGTTCTAGAGCAGCACCAGAGAAGAGAAGAGGGAGTTGGGATTTGCTGTAGGTGTGGTCATGCTGGGGGCTCTACCCTGACTCACTGTGAGGGAGGCCCTAGGACTCAGGCTGCACCTAGGGTAGTGTCATTTCTTGAAGGCATGAAATAAAGTCAGTCCCACTTTGATAGAAGACAGAAGTAAATTATATTCTGATTCAAAGTGTATGCCATGATACAGGGTTCTATGGCTGTGGATAAATCTCTGGGTCTTCCTTCCCCTTTATTCCATACCCTCTGCTCCACATAACATAACCCATCCCCCCTTTCAGAACTACTTCAGGGATTTAGTCTCTGAACATTGTTACAGACTTTTGTAAACGTGGGTCTTTTTGCATAAGTTAATTCCATCAGTAGGAGAAGGTGCATTAAACCATGACATTGCTTCTTTTTATGTATGACAGGAGTCCAAAGCAAGTATTAGAACAGATTTCCAAAGATAAAATCACAAAGAGCAATAGTCCACGATGTGCTTCAGTGGACTCTCCCCCTCCCAGAAGGACATGGAACAGTTGCTTTAGTTACAGAACTGTTTTTTTTCCATTTTTTCTGGCAGATCATTATTCCTGATTAACTATTAGACTTAAAAATCATGGACTAGGTTTAGTGCCTTCTAATAAGTTTTTAACAGAGGTAAGAGCCTTTTGATCCTATTTTTAAGTTACAAAAAAAAGGCTTGCATCTGCTCTGCATATTAGATTCCCCCCTCCGGTTATTGACTTTGAGTTCGACCTGTAGCCCAGGGGGGTGGAATAATTTTCAGTATGTGCTAATGAGTTCTGCGTGTGTGCTGGGTAAACAGTGTTTATGACATGCACTCTATGTTGGTAGGCCCAGTCTCCATCTGCAAGGTAGGTCACAGCTGTGATTTCTGTCCTGCTCCGCAAGATTCAGCTCCAGTTCACTAATGGTTGCTCTCCGTATGTGTATACTTACTTATTTTTAAAAATATATACTAACATTACATCTCTCCCATTAAGTTTTATTGAATGAATACTTGTATTTGCACACAGATAGCACCCAAAGCATAGACTGGAAAGAATGACTGGAAAGAAAGAATGGGGAATTAGATGGGGAGAAGGCGGAGTCCGGGTGAGTTGGTAAGTAGATGAGGGGGAGGAAGACTCCGGGTGGGAGAGCAGCTAAGTGACCACAGGATGAGTTTAGTGAAGTCACAGACTGCCACAATCCAGTTAAACGGACTAGATTTTATTGATGCCATATTCATTTCCTGGTGTCCATTTGTTTGTCATCTTTTCTGCTGATTTCACTCAGAAAATCCAAGTCCCTGCTTCAGAGTCCTCAGCTTAGAAACTGAGGTCTAATTTGCTGACAGCCACTTTGGTCCTTCTTAGCTCTGACCCCTGCTGGGCCTTGTTTTCATTTCTGCCTGTCTTCAACATTTTCAAAAGGCAGGCACTGTGGTTGGTTAGTGTTTGGGAGAACTGATTGGACCAAAAAAATTCTTAAAGTAAGAGAGTCTTCCTTCCCTAAGATTTAAGCTTTACCTTACTTCCTGCAGAGGCTCCTGAAGGATGTCTTCCCCATTATCCTCAAACTTGCCTAGTGGGAATTTTAGATACCAGGCGAAATCATACATCATTTGCTCAACAAATATTTACTGAGCCCCTGCTATAGTCCCTTTCTGCAGCAGTAAGTAAGAATAGTGGGAACAATCCAACCGTCTTGTCTTCTCCAAAGAATGACCTTGCCTGAGCCCTTCCTAAGTTTGTACATAGAACCTGGACTAGATGTGAGAATTCATTTGGTTCAAACTCCTTGTTTTACTTTAATAGTGACAGCAAGCAAATTAACTAAGAAAATGAGATCTAACAACACAGGTTCTAATACTTAATCACTACCCCTCAATTTCTATTTAGGATATACTTAAAATTACATAATATTAGCAATATACCGACAAAAGCCCAGTGGAAGTATATGAAATGTACTTAAGAAGAAGTAGAGGTCATAGCCTGGCCAATAACCCTCTGGAGGATTTGTCGGGAAGAGGAAGCTCATGGCTCTATTGAAGGACAGAAAGTCACCCCTCGGTGAGGCTTTTCTTCACCTAAGTCTAAGCTCTACCTAGACGCATCGATTTTACAACACCTAGGTCTCTCTTTTAGGGGCTGGTTGAAGTGTTCTGTGGGATCTGATTATGCTTTTCACTGTCCATGCGTTCTTCATGATCTGCCCCTGCCTGTCTTTTTGACATTCCCCCCTCCTCTTCTTTCCTCTTTTACTTTGCTCTGGCCCTCTGGCTGTCCTTTTGCTTTGGAACACGCACATCCCCACTGTAAAGCCTATGCGTTGATCTTGCCTTGTCCTGGAATGCTCTTCTCATGGCCTCTCCTCATCACTCAGATGTTGCCTCTAATCATCTTAGCTACAGTCTCCCTTAGGTCAGATTGTGGACTCCTGAGGAGGTTCGAAGGGGTTATGTTCCTGAGGGAGGCTCTTAGGGGATGTTCCATTTTCTGAACATTTGTGGAACAACGACCATATGTAAAACACTGCTTTGTTATGTGAGGGATTCCAAGAGAGATGACCTGGGACCTTGAGAAGCTTGCAGATGAATAGTGGGAGGTATTAATTCTAGTGCAAGGCATAAAATAAGTGCGTAAGAGAAAGCTAGCTAAGGGCTCTAGGGATTTAGAGCTAGGAAGGCAACACATCTGATTGGGGAGATCAGAGATCATATCAAGAAGGAATGTGCATTGCCGTGAATCTTGTGGGAGCGAGCCAAGTCCGTGTCTGGAAGGCACTGGCACATTTGTGGCATGGCGGGTTGGTTCACGTAGAGGAAAGAACGTGAGATGATGGTGGGTGCAGCAGCTGAGGCTGTGGGGAGGAGACAGAGTTGCTGGGGTGGACGCAGAAGGTGTACATCTCCAGATTTCCCTCTGCCCCCGGAATGTTTAATAGGTGTGAGCACATGTGAGATTTCCACTTCAGCCTTGCTCAAGCTGAGTGCTCAGTCCTTTTAGAGGCCCTTCCCTTAATTTTCCTATTGAATGTACAATTTGTCCTAGCAAAGAAAAGACTAGAAAGGAGGCTGAGGCCTGAGCATGCTGGAGCATGAAGGGTCCTGACTGCCATAGACGTGAGCTGTGATCAGAGCAGTGCTTCAGGAGGATTCGTTTGTAGGACTGAGCTGGTGTGGGCGGCAGGAAAGAAGCTCCTGCTGTTGTCAAAGTGAGGGGAGAGAAATCCTTGACATCCCTAATCTGTAGGATGTAGCACTGAGGGGCATCGGGAGAGGTGGAAATCTAAGGTAACTCTGAGTTTTCAGGCCTGGAAAGTTGAGAGAATGGTGATGTCATGAACAGAAGCATGACAGAAATGGGTATGAACTGGATCTGAGATGGAGGATGATGACTTTGCTTTGGGAGATGTTGAATCACTGTAGATAAAGATTTGGGGGTCATTTGTAGAAGTAAACTTTCAAATCATGAGAGTAGATACCAATAAAAAAAGAGAAGGGCCCAGGACCAAAACACTGGGAGCGTTCCTTTGGTGGATTGTGGAAGGGATGGAGAAGCCAAGTCAGAGGAGTGTAGATGACCAAGGGAGGGCAGGGGTATAGGAGCTAAGGGACCCTGGACCACCGATGGGAGGAAGTAGTCCAGGGATTCGGACACTGCCTGGTACTTGGTGGGCTCTCAGGAAAGGCTTTGGAGTTGAACTGAGAGACATAAGATGATAGAGATTTGGTTACTAAGTGGTTTCTAATGAGGACACTTTCAGTGCGAAGTAGCCACATGCAGAGGCTATGGAACAAGGAGATGGTGAGGAACAGAAGCTAGGTGGGTAGATTGTTCTTGAAAGTGGTTTGGTGGAGAAGGAGAATGGACAGGTAGAAGCTTAGAGCACTATATCGGAAAGTTTCTTCTTAAGAGAGATGTGGGGCACCTGGCTGGCTCAGTTGGTAGAGCACGTGAATCTTTGATCTCAGGGTCATGAGTTCGAGCCCCACGTTGGGCCTAGAGCTTACTTAAAAAAAAAAGGTAAGAGAGATTTGTAATCAGGAGAAAGTGTGGAAGGGATGGATGGAAAGGAGAGACTGAGGCTAGCTGATGGAAGAGGACTCCAGAGGTGTGGGAAGCCATACTCATTAGCCTGGCAAAGAGGAGCAGCTGGAGGAGGAAAGCAAGCCAGGCTGAGATGCAGGGAGGTCACATGAGACTGCCTAAGTCTTCTTAGTAAAATATAAAGTGAGGTCACCTGCTCAGAGGGAGGAAGTGTGGCTCAGGGTTGTGGATTTTAGGACAGTGACTGAAGACCGGAACACATCTATGGTGGAAGAAGTGGGGAGTCAGCCTGAGACCTAGAGCGCTAGCAGCAGGAACTGGGCAGCAGTGGGAGAAGACTAAGGCTCTGTGCATCAGGGTGGTAGCAGCCCCAAAGGTACTGATTCTGGGCTTCAGGCTGGCAGCAAGGCAAGGGAAGCCAGGTGGAGGTGAGAGAGAAGCCTGGCGGTCATGAGCAGCGCAAAATAAGGCTTCTAAAAGGAACAAATGAGTAGAAAAAGTGGAATTGGACAGAACACTCTTGGATCACTTATTTTCCCACATTCTTCCTCTTTTTGTACATTTACTATGTCTCCCTGTAACCCCAGACTCATGTTTCTTATGATTTGTAACTAGTGTCTCACTACTATTCTAGATTGTGTATTCTACAGTGCAGAAGGAAAAGTAGCGGAAACTGGTCCTAGAATGCAGTGGCTGCTAAAAGTTATTCCGGGCATTGTGTTAAGCATTTTACATACATTACCTTATGTACTGCTCATGAAAACCCTCTGAGTTTAAATAATAAGCTTTTGCTATTATTTTTTAAAGACACAGAGAGATTAGCTAACTTGTTCAAGGTCACGTGGTTAGTGAATGGTGAGGTCAAGTTTCGGACCCGGACAGGTTGACCTGAGCACTTAGCCACTTCTCTAAACTGCCTCCCTGCCAGGACTTGTTACAGTTGGCACAGTGACCGTATTGCTTTTTTTCAGTTGCTCAAATTGTCGCAACAACAACTAGAATCCTTGCTGGTCTTTATGGTTTGCAAATCAAGTTCACGCACATTATTTCTTTTGATCTTAACACTCCTGTGAGGTTTGCAGCCACGTGCCGGGGGGAAGGAGTGCGTCAGCTCCAAGATCTCTATGTCTTTAGTCTTTGAAGTTTTGCCATTACAGAGTTGTGACCCGCCCAGAGAGCTACGATTTTTTTCTCTCTTAAATATGCTCGATTCCTTTTATTAAAGGCATTCTCTGGGGTACCTGGCTGGCTCAGTCGGAAGAGTATGACATGAGACTCTTGATCTCAGGATCCTGAATTTGAGCCCCAAATTGAATGTAGAAATTACTTAAAATCAATAAAAACTTTTAAAATAAAATAAAATGAAAAATAAAGTCATTCTCTGCACAGACCTTCTGCTTCGTTCCAGGTCATAGAACTCTGTATGTGGGGGTTCGGATGCCGCTGGGCCGGCAGAGCCATCGCCATCACCGAACGCATGGCCAGAAGCACCGGAGGCGAGGGCGGGGCAAAGGAGCCAGCCAGGGGGAGGAAGGCCCAGAGGCCCTGGCCCATGGTAACATTCTTGGGAGGCAGGGCGGAGGTCCATGGCTGGGGCCTTGGTGAGGCTGAGGGAATGTGTGTGATGGACATCAAGTAGGTGGTCTTGATTCTCTAGCCCTTTTGTAGAGTTCTCAGGGCTTGCTTCCAAGAAGAAGAAATGCCTCTAAGAATCAAAAGTATCTTTCTGAAAAACTCATAGTTCGGGCTTCCCAAATCAATTACCATGTAGGCTGAAATCATTTGGCAGAAAATTAACCATTCTTTTTGATCAGATTAATCTGATTTCCAGTTTGTTGTGGGCTTGCTTCAAGTGGTCTTAGTTCATAATTTTTTCCTCCCACTAATTGCTTCCATAGAAGAGCAATTTTTTTGGGGGGGGGAGGAAAATAAAGAAATCTTTTTGCTCTACATTCAGGATTGTTTTCTCTATGTCCCTAAAGTTATAAGGCCTCCAGATGTGCTAAGTATAGCAGAATGCTATTTCTGTTCTAAGTTGGGGCTGGGAGCAGACCTTTCTCTGTGGTTGATTTTCTAGATACACCATCTCAGCGTGTTCAGTTCATTCTTGGCACTGAGGAAGATGAAGAGCATGTGCCTCATGAGCTGTTCACAGAGCTGGATGAGATCTGTATGAAAGAGGGAGAAGATGCTGAGTGGAAGGAGACAGCTAGGTAAGGCCCTAAAATATCCTGGGTCACGATTTGCTTGGGTAGGCAAACGTGTTCCTTTTGGCAAGTGACAGGTCTGCTTGCCTTTTATTTCTTCATGGGAGAAGTGATGACTGACATGGGGACTGATGTTCCAGAGTCTTCTATGGGAAGTCTTGATTTCGGCCTCTTTGTGTTGTCTCTGGTGACACCTATACCAATTGACCTTGATCCTGGGATTGGTGACAGAAACACAGAAACTTTAGGGAGTCCTCTCATTTATTTAGGGCCCAGAGTTCCTCATGGGCTACCTTGATATTATAGGTCTGGCTTAGAAGATGCCTGATGGGGCCAACTTGGTTTGGACCCAAGCAACCAAGCTTAGGTGAACACAGGATAGGTGAAGACTTTTCTGAAGGTGAACCATAGTGTCTTAATTCATTTGGGTTTTGATTCGCTAGATGTTTCATAATTTTTGAGATGTCCTATGGGACAGCCCAACTTCATGGAGACCAGTGGGATTATAGCTAGCCTGATGGTAGGCTTCCTGGGGGTAGCTCTAGAGTGACAATGCTTGCCTGAGGCTCAAACCCCAGAAGAGCCCTCACATTAACCAGGACCATGTCTGGACTCCTCTAGTAGATGACCAGTGAACCTTATGGGTGATAGAAAGCCAGCATACCTGAGCTTCAGGGAAGAAGGCAAGGTGGGTAACTAGCAAGGTGTGACTCTAGCTAGCTTTCACTGGAACAGCTCTTCCTGGATCCTTGCTATATCCTTGAATGTTTGCCATGGGTGGAGAGGATTAGGCAAGCCAATCACCCTGATACCAAGTGAAAAGGCAATTAGTCTTTGCCAACTTGTAAATGTCACATAGAGACTTTTTAAAAAAGAAAAATATTACCATTTTGTTAATCTATCCAAATGATATCAATTAGATCTATGTTTTTAATTACACAAGTAATATGTGCTCCTTATATAAAATCAGAAAAGAAAGATAAGCAAAAAGAAGATGAAAATTATGTATAAATCTACTACCTCAAGGATAACAAGGAAGACACCATTTGGTGTCTTATACATGTGTATTTGCAGTTTTAAAATTTTCTTTAAATAGAAACAGGATCAAACTGTACTCAACTTTGCACTGTTTTATAACCTGCTTTTTTCACTTATCAGTGTACCCTGAAAGTATAGATGAAATTATAATGTTCAATATGATTATTCAGGTATCTTTCATTGTGGCTTACATTAAAGACTCTCTCTTGTGAAAATTCCTCATTTTCTACCTTTGGCATCCAGTTGTTTGTAATGCTTTCAGGTGGCTGAAGTTTGAAGAGGATGTTGAGGATGGGGGTGAACGCTGGAGCAAGCCTTATGTGGCAACCCTTTCACTGCACAGTCTCTTTGAGCTAAGGAGCTGCCTTATTAATGGAACAGTCCTTCTGGATATGCGTGCAAATAGCATAGAAGAAATTTCAGGTAAGTTTAGGTGCGGGAAAACAGAGGAATGTTTGTGTAAGTTAAGAAATGTGGTGTGGAGGAAAGAATAAAGTAGCTGTGTGTCCTCAGGTCAGTCACTGAACCTTCCCAACCTCAATGTCTTCAGCTGGGGGGGATGGGTTTTAAACTAAGAAACTACCTATTTCACAGCCTTCTTATAGGATTCAAACAATAGGGTATTCAGTCTTCCATTTGCCTGTTCATTTAACACACATTTATTTTGTATCTATTTATGCTTGATAATGTGCTAAACACAGGGGAATAAAGATAAGATACAATTCCTACCCTCAAGAAACTCACCTTCAAGTTGGGGAAATAGCCATGGGACAATTCGAATAAGTGCAACCACAGAGATATGTCTTGGTAATAATCAGAGAAAGGGGCACCTGTGAATTGTGCAGAGAAAAAGGTGTGAAGGAAAGATTTTTAAACATGGCTGCTAGGGAAGACATGTAAGAAATTGAGCCAAAGTCCCCCCATGGGTTCAGCAGGGTGTGAAGGGCTATGTCTGATGGGATTTCCTGACGCAGTTGAGTGTTGCTACCATGTTTTGGGAACGGCGTTTGAGAAACACCTGGGTGCATGTGAGGGTTATTCCCTCAGCTCGGGTCCATTTGGCTGGTTAAATAGAGATTTCTTCAAACTTTTCTTCAAGTATCCAAGTTATTCTGCCTCTCTGGGATCACTTGGGGAAGCAGAGGAGGGATCAGCTCTGATGAGATCCTATGTCCCCTCTGAAGGCTCTAGGGGAGAGCTGTTCCCTGCTTCTTCAGCTTCTAGTGGCTCTGGGTGTTCCTTCTCATGAATGCCTAACTCCATTCTGCCTCTGTCTTCATGCGGACTTCTCATTTGTGTACTACTCTTGTAAGGATATTTGTCAGTATCATCCAAGATGATCTTATCTTGAGATCCTTAGCTTACTTACATGTGCAAAGACACTTTTTACAAATAAGATCACAGTCACAGGTTCTGGGGGATTAGTACATAGATGTATCTTTTAGGGCGGGTACCATTCAACCCCTTATTACAAAAGCTAAGAGGAGAGAGAGTTTCAACTCATCAGTGTTAAATGCTGCAGAGGGGTAAGGTAAACATCCATCAGATTTAGCAACTAGAAAGTTATTGATGATTTTATCAAAAATAATCTCATTGAGGTAGCCAAATTGCAGGGGACTGAGAAATTTTTCTTTGAGAACTTTAAATGATAGGAGAGAGAGAGAGAGAGGTTTATAAATAAAGGGGGACCTGGGGTGAACATTCTTTTTCTTACTTTAAATTTCTTTTCAAGATGTAGGATCCTGAAGCATGTTTACAATATGGGGGCAATGAACCAATCAATATGAAGATTAAAGATAGAGAAACCATGGATCTTCAGCTTGAATATTCAAAATAGATTTTCTTTATTTATTGCTTCTAGTACTTTGATAGTAATGGATGGAGTTGGGGTTGAGAATAGGTTGAAGTTTTGGGTAGGCTTGGGGATAGGTATGTAGGATTGAAGTATAACTGTTATAGTTCTTTCCGTTAGATACCTGATGTATTCGTGTTAGTGATAAGGTTAGGTAAACTGGATCAAGTATCACCTGTGAATCAGCACTTTGTATTTATTATCTCATTAATTTTCCTTAACAAGCTTTGAGGATGGTTGATGATATTAGCTCCATATTACAGATGAGGAAACTGAGGTATGGAAATGTTATGTAACTTGCCCAAGATCACACGGAAAGTGGTAGAAGTGGGAAAGAATGTGGGCCTTTAGCTCTAGAACTCATACTCAGTAGCATGTATTTTGGGATTCTTTCCCCCCTCAACTGTGCTGGGCTTGACAGGTTAAAGGTTGATGCTTGGTGGCAATTGTCTGGGGTACTTAGTTAGCTTAATCATACATGTAGGTTCCTCCTTCAAATTGTCATTTGGAGTGTTCTACAGTTATAGTTTGTCTTGACAATCATAGCGATGTTGAAATCTTGGAGGAGGGGAATATAGAGGAACTTTGGCAGATGACAGAACAAAGTGGGTATTAATGTGGGCTTTGGAGTCAGTCTTGGGTTTGAATCCCATCCCTGCAACTTACTAGATGTGAGATCTTGGGGAATTTTGTAATGTTTGGGCCTCAGTTTCCCGATCTGTACAAATTGCTACAGTGCCACCCCCTTCTCAGGGTTTTTATTTGGATTCAATTGCATAATCTATGTAAAGTTCTCAGTACAGTTCTGGCACATATTAAGTGCTCGATAGTTTCTAATAATGATTTGTCACCCGAATCAAGTGTAACTTGCCACAGTTGCTGTCATCAGATAACTCTTTTGGGCACGGGAGCATAAGTTGTACCCGACGGAACTGCTTCCCCCTACTCACCCCTCACCCCACCTGACGCTGGCCTCTTTGAGTACATTGACTGTCAGTTGGAGTATTCATGTTAGCGCCTGCTTTCCAGACCTGATCCTGGACCAGCAAGAACTGTTCAGTGACCTGAATGACAGCATGAGGGTTAAAGTACGAGAAGCCCTGCTCAAAAAGCATCACCATCAGAATGAAAAAAAGAGAAATAACCTCATTCCCATTGTTCGCTCTTTTGCTGAGGTTGGCAAGAAGCAGTCTGATCCACATTCGATGGATAAAAATGGTAAGATTATTAGGAGTGACTGTTTTCTCTTCTTATTAATTAGACATTTAGGAACTAGTCGGAGATGCTAAGTTACTGGAGGGTACAGGCTGTTATTTGTCTAATATGCTTCGCACTCACTTACACACAGTACTCTGGTCACAGGCAAGATGCGGGGGCTGCGGCTGATGACCATCCATCTCTTGTGGCACTAGGGATGCATGCCTCAGATAGATCTCGGATAGATCTTAGATTAAGGAGGCAAAATACAGTAGTGTAAGTTCTTGAGTCAGACTTTGAGGTTTGGGATTCAGGCTTCACTCCTTGCAAAGTGTGTGACCTTGGGCAACCTCCTAAATCTCTTGAAGTCTCACTTTCCCCTCTGGAAAATAAGGATAATAATAGCATCTACCCCATAAATTTATTGTGAGGCTTCAATACGGTAATCCACGTAAATCCCTTAACCAGGTGCATGATGGGTTGTAAACACTCAATGAATTTCAGCTGCTGTTTGGTTTCCTTTTCTGTGGCCAGGCAGGGCCTAATCTATATGTCTCCCTGTCCCCACATTCACTGAATCACAATGTGCAGGGGATGTGCCTGGGAATCTACATATTTGAAAAGTTTTCCAAAGGAGTCTCTGATGTGCACTCCTGGTTAAGAATTACTACCTTAATAGAGGAAGAAAAGAGGATCACAAATATGTTCAGGAAGAAGGTGCAGAAGTAGTAAGACTTCTGTCCTCCCTTTACCACTAACTAGTGGGTAAGGAGATATGTATGTGTGGGTCTTAGCTTCATGTCATCTGAACCTCTTCTCTATATGGGCTTTGCAGGAGACATGGCCATAGCCAACCAATGATGGATAGGGTGTGTCGAAAGGGGGATAGGGCAGAGACTCAGGGAATTGTTTTCTCTGAATAGGTCAAACTGTGTCTCCTCAGTCTGTTCCCACTACAAGTCTTGAAGTAAAAAATGGAGTGAATTGTGAACACAGTCCTGTGGATTTAAGCAAGGTGAGCACAGACATGGGAACTTGGCTTAGAGGCCTAAGCGCATCCCTAGTGGAACCGGGAGTCCAGTTGCTGGAAGCTGGGTAAGCTTTGGTATTTCTGCAGCCTTTGTCTAAGACCAGAACCCCCTCTGCAGGAAAGGAGGCCCCTCTGCTCAGGTCTTCTCCCTTCCACTCCAGCCTGGATGGGGCCCACCAGGTTCAACGTGCTAGAACTGAGAGTAGCCCCTGCTAATCCTCACTGACACAGACCTCCTGATTTTTCCACCTTTTTTTTTTTTTTTTTGGCACTTGCTCTTCAGCATCTCCTTCTTACCTCCAAGGGTTTTGCTGAAACAATATTTTTGCTCCTGTCTCCTAAAACTACATGGCGGTTGAGACTCTTCTTCTGGACTGTGACTTGGGTGTCCGAGGCCTGCTGCAGCAACAGTGCCCCCCTGCAGCTGCTGGCGTAAGCCTCGATCTCCCCGCCCCCAGCCTCTGGCTGCCCTGGTCTATCCTTGACTCTAGCTAGAACACACACACGGTGTCATGGCACTTCTCTGCCTGGAAGGCTCCCTGTTTTATTTAGAAAAGCTGAAACCTCTGACAAAGCATTCAGGTATTTTAAAATGGAAAAAATGTGACCTAGAGCTTCAAAAACAGTCTCTGAGAAAGGGTGGTGTAATGGAATTCAAATCAGAACACCGGGATTTAAATTCTCTCTCTTCAAAGCTCCATTGAGCAAGTCAGCTTCACCTCCCTGGGTCTCAGCTGCTTCATTTTTTAAAATAAAAAAGTGGGGCTGATGAGCTCTGTTTTATCCACTTTACAGAGTTATTGTAAGGATTACATGAAACAGTGTGAGAAAACATTTGTTAAATCATAAAATGACAGATGAATGTAAGGTGCGAGAGTGCTGATTGATGTTTGAGGTGACGCTCCTAGGTTGTCAGAGGATTCTTTTGGACTTTCAGGTGGATCTTCATTTCATGAAAAAAATTCCCACTGGGGCAGAGGCCTCAAATGTCCTGGTTGGAGAGGTGGATACTCTGGACCGCCCCATTGTCGCCTTTGTGAGGCTATCTCCAGCTGTCCTTCTCTCGGGCCTGACCGAAGTGCCCATCCCAACCAGGTAAAGACAAGGACCGAAAAACTCAGTGCATTCTGTCTCAAGTACAGATTTGTGTGAGCTCTGGTGGAAGAAACCAGCTAGTGCCAAAATTTAGGATTAATTGGAGAATGCTATTTAAAATTCAGCAGTACTCTCACTGGGGTTATATTTGATTAACCTCCATGCAGAAGGATTCTAAGACTTGCAAGGCTGTGACTATACAGTACCTACAGGCTTGGGAATGGAGAATTGCAGAGCATCCAAAGAGCATATCACGGGCTAATCACTTGTTAGGATGGGAAGCCTGAGTCTTAGTCTCCCAGTTTTACAGAGCCGTGTCCCAGGGAAATGTCTCTGAGCAAAGGTATTGATGTCTTTTTACACGGTTTTGGCAGGATTTGTAGGTTTGCAAATATGTCCACATTTGTTCAAAAGGCTATTCATGCACTCTGAAGATGGTGACTCAGGTGATTCAGAGCCCCATTAATTACAGAGTATTCAGATGTCCAGAACACAATTTAGACTCCTCTACTGGGCTTGATCATTTCAACTTCCTTATCCCTCGCCTTTCCCCATCATTTTCTTATTAGAGCAATGAATGAGATTCAGAAAACTTTGAATTTGCACTACAATGGCATGTTTTGAAAAAAAGCATTTTTTTCTATAGCAAGGAATTGTGTCTTTGGAAACCCTAAGAATGATAACCACGTTATTGAATGGAGTCCTACAAATAGCCTCCAATGCATACTGGAGCTCTTAGGTCAAGGCAACTTCTACTGCTCCATCATTAGCCTGTCTCCTTTTATTGAAGTTACAACAGTGATTTCTGTTTAATAGGAAAGAGAAATGTTTTGTTGTTTGGAGAGGAATAAGGTGTCACTTCTTTATGTTTACTGACATAATTTATAATTTCTTCCTCTGTATGTGTTGCCAGATTTTTGTTTATCCTATTGGGTCCAGTAGGGAAAGGTCAGCAGTACCATGAGATTGGCAGATCCATGGCTACCATCATGACTGATGAGGTATGCATCACTTCCTGCTTTCCATTCATGCCACAGATATTTATTGAGTCTTTACTCTGTGCCAGGTCCTGTGCTATTTGTTGGAGATAAAGTAATTACCATTCTGGGTAATTATCTTCTGGGAAGCAGTTCAGGTCACTTCTCTAAATGCCTTTTGTGGGAGGACCTAACCTTCTGGGGGTATTTCTTCCTATGTCATCTCTCCCTTTTTGAGTAATCAAGGATGCAGAGAAATCCTTTTCTGGGAAAATTATTATTGCCAATTAGGATACCTACAGAGAAAGATACTAAGGCTGACAACACTCTAGAGAGGATGGTTAATTACCTGCATAAAAGCTATTTACATAAAGAAACCTCACTCTTATTCCATGTAAATGAGACCAGTTTGCATAAGGGTCAGGGGTATGAGCTTGGGCACTGTAATGTGAATGTCCCAAGGCAACCAGGTATTTTGGCCACCAAGGTGCTGAATCCCCACCACATACCCTAGTGAGGCGTGCACTGCTCATGTAAGCTGCAATGTAAAGTTTTTAAGGCTTGTGTCATAGCAGGTAGAGGCAGATGGGGATTGTGGTTTATCATTTCTCTTTGATTGGGAAACTTATTTCATGGAGGGACCTTCGTTAGTAATTCCACCCAGTTTTTCCAACTATTATGATCCGGAAATTTTCCCATGCATTTTGCCTTTTGTTCCATTCTTTGGAGCGATGGCAATGACACAATGTTAGAGTCTTATCTTTTCTTGTACTAACATACATATGGCTAGTTCTTTCTGACCCATCTCATCTTCAGGTTTATGTTTTTTATCCTTTCATCTTTGCATTTTTTTAAATGCTAAAGTTTTCTACATTTCAGATCCACATGACAGAGATAAAAATCATGAGGCTGTATCTGTCCTTCACCATATTCACTGGTGACTGTTTTAAGTAAAGTTATTTTCAAATTTCCTGAGGATTTTTTCTTCCCTGTAGATTTTTCATGATGTGGCATATAAGGCGAAAGAGCGAGATGATCTCCTGGCGGGGATTGATGAGTTCCTGGATCAGGTCACGGTTTTGCCTCCAGGGGAGTGGGACCCCTCCATTAGAATTGAACCACCCAAAAACGTCCCTTCCCAGGTAATGTATGCACATTAGCCAGTGGTGGCTTAGTGCCACTTACTGGGTACCCACCATGGACAAAGCAAAGACCATGTGGATATATACTAAATAAATCAAGACATGGCCCTTTTTGGGACATGTAGAATGAACAGAACAGTTATAAAAAATAAGTATACAGTAACATAGGTTGGCTCAGGTAATGTGATCAGTCAGGATTACTCTAGAGAAATTTCAAGTGGCTTTTGCTGGTTTGATGTGGAATGGCAGAGAGGGGAGGGAAGGACATTTCTTGGGAGTAGATTGTGGATGAAGCCATGCAATGAAAAGAGCAAGTTGCGGAGAGAGAGCGAGTAGAGTCGCCCATGCTTCGGCCAGGTTGAAGGTGGGAAAGGAGCTCTTGTACACTAGCCAACAAGCCTGGCGCTTTACAAATACTAACTCAGCCTTGCCAGCAACATCCCCAAGTAGGTATTTTTATCCTTTTTTAAATAAATAAAACTGTCTTCACAGTTTTAAGGGAAAGTAAGATTACACAGAGGGAGATTTGAAACTGGAACTTAGGTCATAGCTGATGCCGAAGCCTCCATATTTTTGTTTCTGGACAAGGCAGAGTTAGGAGTCAGGTACTAGTAGAGAGGGGGAGAAATTATATGGTGGTGTTGTTTTTCAGGAAAATCAGTAAACTGCCCCGAATCAGTAAATGCATTTGAAAACTACAAACACTTGGGTATTTGGGGGCCGCTTTTGGATTATCTCATTACCACTCCCCCCTGTTAGCAGGAAGGACAGACTAGATGGCTGACTTTACTAATTTTGGGGTCCTTTGTTAAAAGGAGAAAAGGAAAATGCCCGGAGTTCCAAATGGAAATGTTTGCCACATAGAACCAGAACCACATGGGGGCCACAGCGGGCCAGAACTTCAGCGCACCGGGCGGTAAGTTCGGGGATGCTTCACAGCTCATACTCCTTACTGGGCTGAAGGTGTGTAAAGGAATGAGTCATACTCTTTGCTTTCAGCCTTCTTCTCTGTAGTATATTGGCTGGGAATGACTTTCCAAATGGAACCACTGACTATAATAAGTATTGCAAGTATATCAGATATCGTATTCATTCATTCAAGTTTCTCAAACCACCTACCACAGTCTGTCTCCCCTCCAGTCCTTTCCACACACTGTTCCCTGATTTGAGCACTCATCCCCTTCCTTATCGCCTGACTAACTGCCACTTATCCTTTGTCTCAGGTTAGGTGTCGCTTCCTTTGGAAAGCCTTGTAAGACTCTGTAGATGAGGTTAGGTATTCCTGCTATGTGGTGTCACAGCTTTGAGCTCTGTCCTCACTCGTCTGCCAGCCTCCTCCTACCCCCCTGGTTATAGCCCTTCTCATACTTAGTTATTATTGCTTGATTTGTTGTCTTCCTGCTAGAAAGTTTGCTCCATATGGGTGGGGTGCCCATTATATTCCCAGCACCCAGCACCGTGCCCTGCACAGAGTAGGCACTCAATATCTGATGAACTTATGAATGAATACTTTTAGAATGATCCCTGTTCTGTAGCATGAGTGGAGTAAATATAGATAAATATCGAGTGATTATTTGAAGTTAAGAAACACCCTTTGCGTAGGCATATAAGTAGTATTTTAGGTGCGTGTATCTCAGGATAGTCAATCTACTCTTCTGGGCCAAGATTCTATGGACAGATGCCCAAGGAGAAGGTTCTCTATGGAAGGTTAGGGAAGCAGGTCTCCAGACTCAATTTTATTTGCCAGGTAGGAAGGTAGTAAAAGAGCGTGGTATTTTGGATTGGAGTGACATCTAGGGTTTCCCCCAGATTGTGGAAGAAGGTTGAGACCATAGTTCTGGCCTGTAAATTGTGCTTGTGTCGAAGAAGAGTGGAGATTCTCAGGACAGGACACTGATCATGGAGAGAGGCTCTGTTACATCTTCTACTTCCTTGCTTTCACCTTATTTTTTTCCTCTTTGCTTGAAGTTGCTCTCCTTTTCTACCCTCAGTACTCTACGCAGTGGAAACTCAGGGTTTTTTTTTAGAATTTTAGACAGTCATCTCTTTTTCTACTCTTGAAAATTCAGGGAGGAGCCAGGAAAGGAGACTGAGAAGCAGGAGAAAAGGCACTTGACTAGCAGTGTCCAGAGGGGGGAATGTGTTTCCTGGCTGGAGGAAGGTATTTGAGGATGGGGAAGGATAACTGGGTTCTGGGGAGCGATCATGGAGGAAAGGAACCGTCCTTTGATGGAAGGAGATCACTGAAATGAGGGATCAACCTCCAAATGTGAGTTTAACATTTTCTTTAAAGTTGGGAGAGGTCTGAATTGGGTGGGAGGCCTGGTATTGAGAAGCAGTTCAAGGGAACCATCTGTCCTTAGACTAGGTTCTAGGATTGAGACTGTCCTGGAAGAGGTCGTGTTTTTTTTAGGGGAAGAGTCTTGGGTATACCTTTGATAGTATTTCAGACTTGTGATTTATCTTTTGAATATAAATGGTGTCCACACCCCAGGACTTAGAATTTGAGGGTAGTGGAAATGAGTGCCGCAGGATTTCCTCCAAAGGATATCCATGCAGAAGAGAGATTTCAGGTTTCTTTTGATGTCAGATGAGAATAAACTAGAATCTCAAGCCTTTTGAGGGGGTCATTTATAATCAATTCCACAGGGGGTTTGGGAGATCGTTAGATTGTATCTCAACAATTATAGATTCTCAGCAATGGTGCCTGACGTCCCAAAAGAGAATCTCATACAGCCAGAATCATCACATGCTTACTCATAGTATCAAAGTACCCTTACTCACAAATTCACATAGGGTGTGAGGAAGCTCTCCCTCATGTCTTGTCAGGAAGTTATGGAGTTGATAAGGCTGAAAGGAAGGGTTATCTAGGCTCGGAGCCTAAGTCGGCTTGGTGAGGAGATACTTCCTCTTCCTGAGCTCCTAAAGTTTTCCTCAGAGCCCTAGTAGAAGAGCTCAAGACACATGGCCTTTCTCCCATTGTAGCCTTGTAGTGACTACTACAAGCTGACTTATTGCCTGCATCAGACATTATGATTCTGTGCCCACTCTTGCCCCTTTCCTAATCTCAAAGTATTGAGATCACTCTCAAAGAGTGAATGTTTTCCTGCCCGTGCAGATGGACATCCTAGAAATTTCTGGACGTGCCTGGACTGCACAGACCAAAAATATATTAGCAGTCTGGGCTTTGTAGTTCTTCACACCCTTAGTTGTATTTCTTTGAGGTGGAACACCTGCTTTATGCTTATGATGTTGTATAGCCCGGGGCAAAACTTGGAGACCTAGGGGATGTTCTACTTGTTGGACGGTGAGGTATATGAAGATGGCGGAGTGTAGATTCTAAGAAGGTGGGAAAGAGACAGGTGGAAAGCAGTACTCTGAGTTCTGTATTACGTGACCCACCATGCCAGGGCTAACACATCGTCTTGGACCTCCCTGATGTTGATGCAAGCAGTGATGCTGACGCATTCCCATACATAACAAAGAGGAAAATCTGACTAGAGTGTTCCTAGGCCAGAAGCTTCACCACAGGGAGGATACTCTGGAAAGGGTTTTTCCAAGGTATATTTATGTACCTTATTGGGGATGCCGCTTTGGGGAAGGGTTAATGAAAAAAAGAATCAGGAGCTGCTGTCTCGATGATCCCCCCCACACTTCACACAGGTTTCTTTCAAAGCACACCAGACAAAGGATGGCTGTCCTGTCCCTAAAGCCCTCCAGAGAAGGGCTCCCTAAGTCAGTGCTCCAGAGCCTAGTGACCCTCTACACGGGTAAGTCCTGTCTTGCATCAAGCTTAAATTCATATCCTTGTGTGCCTCCTAACCCCAAAAAACTTGAACATCAAGGGTAGTGTTGAAAGGGAAAGGAAGTCTCAAATGTGAAGAGAAGCATCCATGCCTGGTCTTGTGGTAGATGTGCAATTATGATCTGATTTTATGCATGAGTGAGATATAAGTCTGACTCTCTAAACAGTATTCAGAAATTATTTTATTAATTTATAGTTAACATTATCAATAAGAGCCTCAAATCTTTTCTTTCCACTTTTATTTATTTTTTTAAAAAGATTTTATTTATCTATTTGAGAGAGAGAGAGCACAAGCAGGGGAGGAGGGGCAGAGGGAGAGGGAAAAGCAGGCTCCCCGCTGAGCAGGGAGTCCCACGCAGGGCCCGATCCCAGGACCCCGGGATCATGACCTTAGCCAAAGGCAGACACTTAACCAACTGAGCCACCCAGGCACCCCTTCCTTCCCCTTTTAATCACTGCTAGACAAACAGATGTCCTCCCTTTCTATTGGCATCCCATGAATCCATTTCACATAAATCTTTTGTCTGTTACTCACAGACACTCCTCCCTGAAGGTGCCTCCTGCATCCAGGGGGCTGAGCAATCATGGCAGTGTCTCTGGTTGCCTAGTGGGGTGAGGCTCATTACTGCAGTAGGAGATGATTTTCCCAGAATAATACCCTTCAGAGGAAGGTCATCAATGATTAAGGGGTGATATTCACATGGTACCAAGGTTCTGTGTTGGTAAAGACCCAGAAACGCTCATATTGCGCCCTAGACTAGTCACAACTGCCTATAAGGTCCTATTTACCTAGAGGAGAAAGCAAAACATAGTGACACTTTATTACAAATTGGAGCCTTGGTTACAAACCCTGAGGTGGAATTCTCACACTCTAGGTTAGACCCTATACATAGCTCCTTACCTAAGCTAGTTTGCCAGATAGACTAAAAACAAAGCTAGCTTTGCCTCTCTTCCCTAAGCCAAGACCCAGATTGTGATGTTACTGCTGTAAATTAAAGAACGGTGAATCCCAACTATACCCACCCAAACCAGAGGAAAAGAGCAAATGGGTAAGATAGAACAGTATCTGCCCTGTGTCCACCTGCACCCTCATTGCACCTGGCTAGGGGAGAGAGGGGCATTCAAATGGAGAGAGAGAGAGAGAGAGAGAGCACGTGAGCTGGCTCCGCCTTCTCCCCTGGCACCCAGGTTCCAGGCCTCCTGGTTCTCCTCCAGGCTCCCAGGCAGAGAGGAAGGGCTGGCCAAGCCTCCTTTCATGAAGCTCGTTTTTTGTTTTTAGCTTTTTATTATAGAACATTTCAAACACATAAGAGAGAAGACAGAATGGTATAATGAACCCCCATGTGCCCATCAACAGTGATTAACACTTTACCAATTATGTTTCATCTATTTCTCCCCACTAAATTGTTTTATTTTTATGTTTTCTAGATTATTTAAAACCAAATCACCGGTATCATGTCATTTTACCTGTAACTACTTCAGTATGTATCTCTGTTTGATGAGGACATTTTAAGAAACAACTATCATGCCATTAAGAAATCTAACACAATTAACACTGATTCTTTAAATTATCTAATGTTCAGTTCATATTCAACTTTTTGTGATTGTCTTAGCAACATCCTTTTAGAGTTCATTTGTTTGACATAGGATCCAATCAGGGATTGCGTTTGGTTATTGTGATCCCATTCTATAACAACTCTCCTTCCTTTTTTTTCTGTGCCACTGACTTGTAGAAGAGACCAGGCCATTTGTCCTGTAGAATGCTGAGTGACTCTTTTTGTGACTCACCTACCAACTTTCACTCTGGTGCAGTGACTCCAGTCTTAGAGAAAGTGACCCCGTTTGAGAACACTACTCCTCCTTGGTGTGGGATATCTTGCTCTTGATCCGTCTCATCCTTGGGAAGTGGAGAAGGGTCCCCCGAAGTCCTGCCACCAAGTCCTGTTGATTCCACTTCCTTATTAAGCCCTTGAGTCCATCCACTTCTCCTCATCCCAATCCACTGCCTCCAGTCTCGCCCCACATTCCGTTCATTACACCCCTGCCAGAGTGATCCTTCCAGAATGCATGTTTATGTTGTTCTCCTGTTTACAATCCTTCAGTGATGTGACATGCCATTAGCATAAAGTTCTAATTCCGTAAAACAGTTTACAAGACTCTTCGGGACTTGGCTTCTCCAGCTTCTCCATCCTCCTCTATTGGCATTGGCTCCTCACACTGTCTTCCAGCCGTATCTCCATCAGCCATGCGCTCTCGCCTCTAGGTGGCGCCCGTGCTAGCCCCTCTGCCTCATCTGGCTGACTCCTGGTCCTTTCTCTGAGTCCCTGCGGAAATGTCCCTCGTCCTATGCCGCCTGGGGCACCCTCACAGCACTGCCTATCACCTGCACTAGACTGCAGGTCCCAGAGAGAAGAGCTGTGTTGTCTTGCTCACTGCTGCATCTCCAGTATCTGGCACAATGCCTGACACAAGTATCTGCTACTACTTGTCAACTGCATGAATGAATTATTATGCTAATTTCTCAACAGGAAGGTGGGTAGCTGTTCAGAGTAGGAAAGTGCATGTGATGGGGTTTTTTATCTAGACTACATATTATACTAAAACTAACAACTTTAATACCTTGAATTGGTTTTGCACATTTCCTCCTAACAGCTCAGGATTTGAAGTTTGAAGCTATTACTTAATTTCACGTTAATTTTTTCGGTACTTCTTATTGAATGGGTAATATGCACACCCAAATTCATTCTTTTTTGTGCTTGGGATAATCATTCAAATTCACGCCCTTAGCTGCAAATAGAATCTGTGCTGACCCCCGAGAGAGCTCTTGTACTTGGGGTCAAATTGCAGGCGAATTATGTCTTCAGTACAGAACACATTTGAAATGCTTTTCAAATGGGTGCTGTTCAGATACTTACACAGAAGAGGGACAATGTCAGAGGCCTGTCTGCCATGTTTCCACAGGCTCTTTGGGGGCTTGATATTGGACATCAAGAGGAAGGCCCCCTGGTACTGGAGCGACTACCGGGACGCACTCAGCTTACAGTGTTTGGCCTCCTTTCTGTTCCTGTACTGTGCCTGCATGTCACCTGTCATCACCTTTGGGGGATTGCTCGGAGAAGCCACTGAGGGGCGCATAGTAAGGACTTTTAACCACTTCTCTTGGTCCCAAACAAGACTTAAAATATTGTGCTGCCTGCCAAGTCCGCTGAGGGGAAAATCCCCTGGGCTAGGACTGAGGAGATTGGATTCTTTCTGCCGAGTTACTGTGGTCTTCTGACCTCATACCAGACAGCAACAGTTTTCCCTTTAGAACAGACTCTCTTCTGCTTGATATCAATTTCAGTAGTTGATTGCCCAGTTGGATTACCTGGTGCTCAAAAGATGGAAAATGATATTTCAATATCTTTTGATATTTAAGGTGACTCTGACGGCTCGTAGTGTGAATGGTATCATTGTGCTTTCTATGTATATTTCAGTACTGAATTGAATCACTGAAGAACAGGACTTAGTTAAGGAATCATATGTGGTTGGATTTGGGCACCTGAATTATCAAAGTGGTATCCATTTATAGGAGTATTAGATAGTGTGTATTCTTCACTCTTGCTAAGATGAAATACAAGCAAATGGCTTGTCAGGGCACACAAGAGAGCTAAGTCAGGAATGTACAGAAGCCCACATTACTGGTTACAGATAGGGCTATGGACTCTGATGATTTCTTTTCCCCCCTCAGAGTGCAATTGAATCCTTGTTTGGAGCCTCCATGACTGGGATTGCCTATTCCTTGTTTGCGGGACAGGCTCTCACCATCCTGGGAAGTACGGGGCCAGTGCTTGTATTTGAAAAGATTTTGTTCAAATTCTGCAAGTAAGACATTTGGTTTTCTGAAAACTCTTACTGGATGTGTTATTGTGTTGTTAGGATTGAATGCCAGGATCCTAGGCGAGTATAAGCAGGCAAATATTACTCTGGATTGTAAAACCCGAAAGAAGAACATCATTTGGTCTGTTGTCCTGACCCCCGGGTAGTACCGTACCTAAAATAAAGTCTTAAAGAGCTTTATTAATGTCCCTCAGCCATTATTGAATTCTTGACTTTTTATCTTTAAAAAAAAAGTTCCCTAGCTAATTCAGATTCCTCTATTTTTATTTCAAGTCCATTTTTAATTTGGCCTAATATGCCCCCTTCATATTCTGGTTGCTAGTGATGGTAGGGACCTGGCAGTGCCCTTGTTTCCCTACTTTTCCTATAAAATCTTTTCTTCATTTTGCATTAGGAGTAGGAACATGTGGAACAAGGGCGAGCTCCTTTTTCCTTGCTGCAAGAATAAGATCTGAATCACGTTGGCCGGTAACGGCAGAAATGGGTGATGGGCAATTCCTTCCTTCTCCGCTTCCCACGTCCTTGCTGTGGCAAATACCAGCTGTGGAGCAGATCTTTAGTCACAGCTGTCCCTGGGCAACATTTAGGAGGGAAGGACTGTTAGAATTAGGGATAAACTAGGTCACAATACTTGAATGGGTACTATGAGATGAACTAACTACATTTCTGACCCTTTGTCTTGTAATTCATCCATCCATACTTTCTGATGAACCTTGGTCTTGTTTCAGAGACTACGCTCTTTCATACCTCTCTCTGCGAGCTTGTATTGGACTGTGGACCGCCTTCCTGTGTATTGTCCTTGTGGCAACTGATGCCAGTTCCCTTGTCTGTTACATTACCCGCTTCACAGAAGAAGCGTTTGCCTCCCTGATTTGCATTATTTTCATCTATGAAGCCATAGAAAAGCTGATTCACCTGGCAGAGACCTACCCCATCCACATGCACAGCCAGCTGGACCACCTTAGCCTATATTAGTAAGTATGCTTTCTGCTTGTCTTTTTTTTTTTTTTTTTTTTAATTGAGCAGAAGGCCTGAGTTTATTGGCTGGATACAGTGTACCAGGCAGTACTTGTAGTTTGTGTTAAGGAATAAGGAAGGGTCTTGGCCCTCTCACTGGGAAATAGGGCTCAGGTGGGGATGTGGAAACCTGGGGGAGATGCCCGAGAGGAGAACAGTTAGGAGTGATGATGGAGAGGATGGATTAAGAGTGAAACTCAGGGCACATGAGAACTGCTTTCCAGAGCATGGCTTTTGGTTCAGGCATGAGACAAAAATAGGCTGCAAAGGGAGCGGGAAGAATTCAAGTGAGTTGTTGGGAGGGACTTCTTTTTGCAAGGATTTGTGAGTCCCTGGACCGTGTTATCAAGATTCTCTGCAAGTATGTACAGGCTACTCTTAGGAATCATTAGGTAGAGATATGATAGTAATTCCTTAGAGTTCCATGGGCCTCTTACTTTGTTTCCTAACGATCTAATAATCTATTTACTTACCTAGATTTCAACCCAAGAGACCGTTTTCTTCACATGTTTAATACAGTTTGGATCAGCTGGAAATGAAACCCAGTATTTGGCTGTGTTTTCAACCATCTAGGAGAGTCTGGCCCTATAAAACATTTCTTCTCTGGAATTGTATTCTCCAAATTATGACTAAAGATCCTCAACCTTTAGCTCTATCCATCAAGTTCCCTCCCTGCTGGCTGTACATTTCTGATGAGGAGGGTCTGGTTGTGAAGCGAACAATTTCAACCTGAAACTGTCTGAGCAGAGAGAGCAGACTGCATGGAGGTGTCTGTCACCTAGCCACAGACACACTTCTGTAGATTTTGCTTATCCATTTATTAACCTTTTGAAGGTCCGAATTCATAAAAAATTTGTTAGAATTTTGAAATTATTTTATTACAAAATAACAACCATTAGGAGGTATGATTTTTAAAGCCTTGTGGATTGCCGATGGGCATTGGGGTAAGGTTCATTCTTTGACCTTTTTAAAAATCATATATTCAGGGGCGCCTGGGTGGCTCAGTCATTGGGCGTCTGCTTTCGGCTCAGGTCATGATCCCTGCTCCGCGGGAAGCCTGCTTCTCCCTCTCCCACTGCCCCTGCTTGTGTTCCCTCTTTCACTGTGTCTCTGTCAAATAAACAAATAAAATCTTTTAAAAAAATCATATATTCATTTAAAAATATTTGTTGAGAACCTACTATGTGCCAGGCACTGTTTTAGGCCCTTGAAACATAAGGCATGACAGACAAAGGATCTACCTTCCTGAGGCTTATATCCCAGTGGGAGAAGGCAGACAAACGTAAGCAGCCCTGGACTGAGTAGACTTTGGATCAGGACACTGGAATTCTGTGTTAATAAAGCTCAAGATGGTATTTTTCTTAGTTGCATTCCACTGTTGGAGCTGTGAAGCTAGAACTCTCCAACTCTTTAAATGATTTTATGTTAGTATGTGTTGAACTGATTTTTAAATGTTTTAATTAATTACTTAATTTTTAAAAAGATTTTATTTATTTGAGAGAGAGAGGGTGGGAGGGAGAGAGAAAACACAAGTTGGGGGAAGGGCAGAGGGAGAGGGAGAAGCAGACGCCTCCCTTACCTGGGGCTCCATCTGAAGACCCGGGGATCATGACCTGAGCTGAAGGCAGACGCTTAACTGACTGAGCCACCCAGGCGCCCCTGGAACTGATTTTTTAAGAGCAGTTTAGGTTCACAGCAAAATTGAGCAGAAGATGCAGAGAGTTCCATCTACCCTCTGCTCCCACACATGTGCATTCTCCTCTGCTGTCACCATCCCATATACCAGAGTGGTAAGTTTGTTGCAACCATTGAATTTACATTGATACATCATTATCACCCAAAGTCCATAGTTTATGTTAGGGTTCACTCTTGGTATTATACATTCTGTGGGTTTTGATGAATCTATAATGACATATCCACTATTATAGTATCATACAAAATAGTTTCACTGCCTTAAAAATCCTCTGTGCTCTGCCTACTCATCCCTTGCTAACACTCCAACCCCTGGCAACCACTGATCTTTTTTAGCATCTACATAGTTGTGCCTTTCCCCCAATGTCATATAGTTGTAATCATGCAGTATATAGGCTTTTCAGACTGGTTTTTTTCACGTAGAATTAATCTCCTTAAAGGTCTTTTATGTCTTTTAATGCCTTGATAGTTTGTTTCTTTTTAGTGCTGAATAATAGTCCATTGTCTAGGTATTCTATAGCTCATCCATTCACCTACTAAAGGACATCTTCGTTGCTTCCAAGTTTGGAATTGATTTTTTTTTAAGGTTTATTTATTTATTTTAGAGAGAGAGAGAGAGAGAAAGAGAGCATGGGTTGGGGTGGGGGAGCAAAGGGAGAGGGAGAGAGAGAGTCCCAAGTAGACTCTGTGCTGAGTGTGGATCCATGACCCCGAGATCACAACCTGAGCAGAAACCAAGAGTCTGACGTTCAACCAACTGCGCCATCCAGGCACACCTGGAATTGATTTTTTATACTTAAATATAGGACTTTATAGCTTTCCCAATTACTTTTCATTTTGTCGGTTTCCTCCTATTACAATCTGTTGAGATCTTTTTGTATTTTAATTTTGTGATACTAGATGGTTAGAAGGCATGCTCATTAAATTTACAGATGATACAAAGTTGGTGGGAATGGCTATGTAGTTGTGTATACTGGGAGCCAGTTCAAGCATGAAGCATTTTGGGACTGGGAGGTAACATGGTGGCCAGTAGGACAAGTCTGATCTGGTCTGGTTAGATGACAGAGGAGGCTACTGTGGTGGGATATTACCAGGAATAATGCAGTGAAGAGCTTGCATCACAATTCCAGGAGACTCTGATTTTTATTTTTTATTTTTTTAAAGAGTTTATTTATTTGACAGAGAAAGAGCACAAGCCGGGGGAGTGGCAGGCAGGGGGAGAGAAGCAGGCTCCCCACTGAGTGAGGAGCCCCATACCCAGGGATCATGATCTGAGCCGAAGGCAAACACTCACCCGACTGAGCCACCCAAGCATCTCGAGACTCTGATTTTTAGAGCAAGAATGTGACAGGATATAGGGAGCAAGAAGGAGCTAGCCAGGCTTGGAGGAGACTGTTGAGAGCTGACCAGGGTATCAGGTCCTCCTTGCTCTGTAGATTGAATTTTGAGGGAAGGGCCTGCGAGAAAGAAACTAAGCAGGAAACCACCAGGGCTCATTCTGGGCACATGAGGCACCGAGCTTGGTTGTCGGCACAATTTAATTCAAGACCCACATACTGATTTGTGTCTGTCTTTAGTAATGGCTGACTGAAAAATAAGGATGTGGTTGGGTTTACGCATGGGCCTCAAGCAACAGGACCAATCTCAGGGATCTGAAGCAGGCAAAGGAGCAACAAGGCAGGCTCTGACAGAGCCTTTAGCCCAGTCATGGCTAAAAGTATTTAAAGATTTTATTTATTTATTTGCCAGAAAGAGAGAGAGAGCGCGCACACAAGCAGGGGGTAGCGGCAGGCAGAGGGAGAAGCAGGCTCCCTGATGTGGGACTGGATCCCAGGACCCTGGGACCATGACCTGGGCCGAAGGCAGACGCTTAACCGACTGAGCCACCCAGGCGTCCCATGGCTAAAAGTATTAACGGAGTACTTGGCTGCTTTCTTCAGGAATCTTTTTCCTTTTCCCCTTAGCTGCAGGTGTACTCTCCCAGAAAACCCCAACAATCATACCCTACAGTACTGGAAGGACCACAATATCGTCACGACAGAAGTCCACTGGGCCAACCTGACCGTTAGTGTAAGTCTGGGAGCTGCGTTACAGCACTGTGACTGCCAGGGGGAAGCTCGGTAGCCCTTCCGCAAGGTCTGGCATTTTCAAAAAGAAAGTTCTTTTTATTTAAACTGTTCTTACTGACCCTTTCCCCCCCTTCAGAAGTTGTCTTGTATATAAAGGGAAAAGAAGATTGCTTTCCTCTTCTCTCCCAGACGCCCCCTACCCGGCAACCCCGTGCTAGGGATATGTGGGCATGACACCAGGCAGGGCGGGGGGCACACCCAGATGCAGTGAGGCTTGAAGAACATTCAGACTGGGAAGTGCTCTGTCATATAAACACTACACATTGCCAGGGCCCTCCCAGAACTGCATGCTTGCTTGGGACCATCCTGGCTTCATTTCCAAAAGTGCCTAGGGATGAGAAGTCGTTGCCATGCTCGGAAGGGGCTGGTGTAAGCGGGAGCACCACGCTGCATGGAGGTCGGGCGGACGCGGCTGGCGGCCTGCACTCCCCGCGCACCCCCGGCCACTGCTGGGTGACAGCGAGCGGTGGGCTTCGAAGGCCAGAGCTGTCGATTCCCTTGTGCCTGCCTCTTGTCACCCAGAATGCTTGTTCCTCCAGGAATGCCAGGAGATGCATGGAGAGTTCACGGGATCCGCGTGTGGCCATCATGGGCCCTATACTCCTGACGTGCTCTTTTGGTCCTGCATTCTCTTCTTCACCACCTTCATCCTCTCGAGCACCTTAAAGACATTTAAGACAAGCCGCTACTTCCCAACCAGAGTAGGTAGCATGCTCACACATTGCTTTTGCGTTAGAATTCTAATGTAACAGAGTTGATTCTCAGCCTCCACACTGCCTGCTGGGTGGAGTGGCAGGTGGCAAAAGCTCCACATGTCCCAGTAAGCCACACTCTGGCATTCTCTTCTTCCAGTGTCTGGCAACCTTTCATCAGTGTGTGGTGTGGGATGAGGCATTAATACTTAAAAATTTTGTTTAAAAGTGCCAGGTGATGGGTGCCTTGCTGGCTTATTCAGTAGAGCATGCGACTCTTTTTTTTTGTTTTTTAACTAGGTTCCACGCCCAGCAGGGAACCCAACCAAGGGCTTGAACTCACAACCCTGAGATCAAGACCTGAGCTAAGATCAAGAGTCAGATACCTAACCAACTCTAGCCACATTAGGGGTAGAGATTACTTAAAAAAAAAAAAAAAGTTCAGGTGGTTTAAGGTGGTTCTCTAAAAGCTATTAACTCTCATTTCCAGAATGCTGTTAAGTTTCATTTCCAGAATACTGGGACTTGTAGCATACAATAGCTAGAGCTGGCTCCTAGATATAGTAAATTGGGATGATCACTTTGGATGCATAGGGGACCCCAAAGTCTCTTCCCAGGGATGGCTCTTGTGGCAGCTTGTGAAATCACCGGTCACATTGACAGCAGCGGCCAAAAGGCTCCTGAGGTGGTTTGCATGACTGTTTGAAGCCTCAGCGATCTTTCCTGATGCAGATGGCAGATGCCCTGTTTTAGCAGGGCAGAATTAGAGGCTGGGCGTAGAGTGGCTAAAAGGGGCCACTTTTGCTTTGAAAGCGGGTTCAAATGAGGAGAAATGGTGGTTTTTCTGTAACTGAGGGTTCAGTCAGGTGCGTTTGCAGAGCAGGAAGTCCGAATGGGTGGGGAGCTCAGTTGATTAGATATTTACGGTACACACATGCATGACTAAAACACATTCTTAGATTTCAGTGAGACTACATGGTAGTTAAGGGAAACACGTATCAAATAAGTTCTGGGTCATTGTTTCTGGTCTGGACAAATAGTTAAGTGGCGGTTCTCTACTAGCTATTTGCCCAGGCATAGGTTAAGTGCTAGTGGGGATATAAAAGAAGTGGTTTTTTTTTAATTTTTATTTTATTTTTTTTTAAAGATTTTGTTTATTTATTTGACAGAGAGAGACACAGTGAGAGAGGGAACACAAGCAGGGGGAGTGGGAGAGGGAGAAACAGGCTTCCCACTGAGCAGGGAACCCAATGCGGGGCTTGATCCCAGAACCCTGGGATCATGACCTGAGCTGAAGGCAGACACTTAACAACTGAGCCACCCAGGTGCCCCTAAAAGAAGTTTTTTTTTTTTTTTTTTAAAGATTTTATTTATTCATTTGAGAGAAAAAGCGAGCACAGGAACAGGGGGAGGGGCAGAGGGAGATGCAGACTCCCAGCTGAGCAGGCAGCCTGACGTGGGGCTCGATCCCAGGACCCTGGGATCATGACCTGAGCCAAAGGCAGACACTTAACCGACTGAGCCATCCAGGCACCCCAAAGGAAGTTTAGAATATGGTTTCTGCCATCATTTAGGAAGGGGAAACATATGAAACATACCGGTCCATATAAGACAGCAGTAGAGAGTTGGGTGTCAGGGCCATAGAAGTTCAGAGGGGAGAGGGCCACTGGACCCCAGGCTGGTCCCCCCAGATGAACCCAAAATGGCTCATGATGGTGGGAGCAGGTACAGGTGCAGAGAATTTGTGTAACATTCAGAAGAAAACTAATAAAACCAGGTTCAGGGAGCTGGAAACCTCAGGTTTCAAAGGTAAGCAAAGTCAGGTTAAGATATATTTTGGCTTAGATATATTTTGCTCGATCTCTGTTGGAAGTTCAGATTAAGGCAGGCACTGGGCATTTTAGAGGCATTGTATTTTATTAAAGCCACACTAAACTATAAAGCCCTCTGGGGCACAAAATGGTGAGAAGTGCTATAGAGAAAACGAAGCAGGAAAGGAGTAGAGGAGGTGCCGGAGTGGAGGGTGGTGTCATCAGAGATGACCTCAAGGAGAAGGTGATATATGCGTGAACATAAAGGGGGTGAGGGAGCTACCCAAGAGGTTACCTGGAGAAAAAGCATTCCAGGTCTTTGAGCAAGCACAGAGACCCTGAGGTGGGAGTGAGTTTGGCACATGTAAGAAACAAGACAGTGGTCTGTGTGGCTGGAGCAGAGTGAGCAGAGAAGCCCTAGAAGCTGGGTTCAGGGAGGTGATGACTGCAGTGTGGGGGCCTTTTGGGTGTTCACCTCAGTGAAATGAGGCGCCATTTCAGGGTTTTCGTGGAGGAGTGACCTGATCCAACTTCTGTTTTCAGTGACCAGTCTGGCAACTTTCAAGAAGGGCAGAGCAAGGTCTTTATTTTTTTATTTTTTTAAATTTATTTATTTGAGAGAGAGCATAAGAAGCAGACTCCCCATTGAGTGGGGAGCCTGATGCGGGGCTCGATCCCGGGACTCTGGGATTGTGACCTGAGCCGAAGGCAGCCGCTTAACTGACTGAGCCACCCAGGCTCCCCAAGGGCAGAGCAAGGTTAAGGGTCTGCTGTACTTACCGGGACAAGAGCTAATGGTGAACTTGATCAGGATAGGAACAGTGGAGGTGGTGACAGGTGCTCAGATCCGGGACGGATTATGAAGGTGGAGCCAACAGGACTCGCGTGCAGGTAGATGAGGTGTTGGACATGAGGGAGAAGGGGAGTTGATGCTGCTGCCAAGGTTCTTGGCTGGCACAAATGGACCTTGACTGGTCCCAGAAAATCTTATTCCAAGTTCTCAGAACTATTGCCTATACCTGGGCATGAGTGCTCCGAACAGAACTCTTCACAGTCAGGGTGGTGACATGAGAGTTTGTTGGATAGATCCTTCTCCCCCATCATATCCACACTTTTGGGGTATTAACTTGGGCATATTAACATATTCCTGTTGTTGAAATATGCTTATATTAATTCAATTATAAAATGAAAGCATGCTTCTGAGGACTTTTAAAACTTTTATAATACTAAATTCTTTTCTACTGCATTTAACCTAATAAAACACTTTTCCAATCCTTTCTCATGCCAGGTACGCTCCATGGTGAGTGACTTTGCTGTCTTCCTCACTATCTTCACAATGGTGATCATTGACTTTTTGATTGGAGTCCCATCACCAAAACTTCAAGTTCCCAGTGTGTTCAAGGTAAACAACTTTCAGGGTACATGGTGCCCTCACGTGGTTTCCTAGAATCTGCTCCCAAGTTAATCTCAAAGGCCTTACCATACCCGAATCCTGTGTTCTGCAGTGCCCTCCATCTGAACTTTGCTCCTCATTCCTTACCTTTTAGAAGAGCAAACTCTTCAGGCTTGGCTGAATTCAAGCCCGAAAAGTCTGAGAACAGAACCCTAAAGTGGTTTAATGAATGAAAAGTTACAATTTAAAACAATGGGATGCACATGTTTACTTAAATACATACCATATTTGGTGGAAATGTGGGGTCCCTGGAACAAGTATGGTTAACAGCTCTTTCATGGAGCATCAACTCCCTAAGGGCACCGGAAGGGATAAAGAAGCTGGATCAGGACTTGGCCCCTGTCCTCAAGGATCTTGCCATGTGAAGAGGTGAGTGGGCCAGGGGGCTTTACCCACAGTGTAGCGTTCCTGCCAGAGTAATCAGGACAGCTCTTCAGCCCTATTTCATTGTTTCTTTGTGTAACTCTCTATAATCTGTAATATATTGCCCAAAATACATTTACCCCAAAGATACAAATGTAGTGATCTGAAGGGGCACATGCACCCCAATGTTTATAGCAGCAATGTCAACAATAGCCAAACTATGGAAAGAGCCTAGATGTCCATCGACAGATGAATGGATAAAGAAGATGTGGTATGTGTATACAATGGAATATTATGCAGCCATCAAAAAATGAAATCTTGCCATTTGCAATGACGTGGATAGAACTAGACGGTGTTATGCTAAGTGAAATAAGTCAGTCAGAGAAAGACAAGTATCATATGATCTCACTGATATGAGGAATTTGAGAAACAAGACAGAGGATCATAGGGGAAAGCAGGGGAAAACGAAACAAGACAAAACCGGAGAGGGAGACGAACCATAAGAGACTCTTAATCTCAGGAAACAAACTGAGGGTTGTTGGAGTGGAGGGGAGAGGAAGGGATGGGGTGGCTGGGTGATGGACATTAGGGAGGGTAGGTACTGTGGTGAGCGCTGTGAATTGTGTAGGACTGATGAATCACAGACCTGTACCCCTGAAACAAATAATACATTATATGTTAATAAAAAAAACTAAAAAAAATTTTTGCCCAAAATATATACAAAAAAGTCAAACAAATGATCATATGGGGGACTCTAGATCTGTTTCGTTTGAGGGGCACTGAGTAACACAGAGGATGGGAAGCTGAGCTCGGTTCCACAGGCCCCACAGGCCCCACAAGAGCAGAGGGGAGGGAAAGCCTGGGTGTCCTCAGTGCCCTGAGAAGAATCCTACAATGAGAAGGCGGGAGAGTCTGCGGAGGAGAAGGAAGATGGGAATAAAGGCAGTCCTTGACTTATAAACATCCCTGTGCCATGCGCCTTTGTCTTCCCTTTCTTTTTCTCTCCCTCCCTGAAATAGGCCTGGTTAAAAATATCTTTTTCCGGGGCGCCTGGGTGGCTCAGTTGGTTAAGCGACTGCCTTCGGCTCAGGTCGTGATCCTGGAGTCCCGGGATCGAGTCCCACATCGGGCTTCCTGCTCGTCAGGGAGTCTGCTTCTCCCTCTGACCCTCTTCCCTCTCGTGCTCTCTATCTCTCATTCTCTCTCTGTCTC